TAATATAGTAAGATTTCTCAAAATTCAAGTCATGAGAGACACCATGTGTCATCTATTTTTTTGACATTTGTTTTTTAATTTATTTATTGAAGAAAAAAATATTAAGTATCTTTTAATAACTTTAACAATTAATTCTAACAAATTGATAACTAACTAGATTTTTGACCCGCGTCAAACGCTGGATTAGAATATTTGAAAATAAAAAATCATAATTTTTTATAATATATGGGAAAAATTAGAAACAACAAAGATTAAATGGTATATATCCCATATAGATAAATATATTTTATCTTACAAAATGTAATATGCATGATACTTGGATTGAATTTAAGCGTTTTTAATGTAAATCGAATATGTTTGAGATTATGACTTCTTTCAAACTTATTTGAACTCACCAAACATAAAAAAATCGCGTTAATATCTAAATCTTCTTAAATAAAAAACTAAAGAAATAACAAAAAGTGAAATTGATGATTTTGAAATTTAAGCATTAATGTTTGATTTGTAAAGTTGTACGTTTATAACAAAACGCAATTTTAATTAGAGTGATATGGATTCAATTAAATGATATAAAAGGAAATACTTGTACGATCAATCACATATAGTATCCCAAATAGACATAAATATAATTTTATAAAATAATTAACATCGGTAAATGATTCATCGTTAAAACACTATGTTATATAATCGTTTAAAATATTAAAATTTTATATTTTAGTTGGATTTAAATTAGTAACATATGGATTTGTGAGTTCATGTTAAAAAATTAATGTAAATGTGTAGAGATTTCAATATTAGATATAGAATTAATTAATTTGTTTGATTGGTTAATTTATTTGATGTGTACCTTAACATTCTCGTTCACTAACACATATGATGTTTTTACTTAGTGTCTCTTCAATTAATATATAGAAGGTTCTAATGTAAATTAATTCCAACAAGTTACAATTAAGTGTTTTTTATTTCTTTGATAGCCACCAAAAACTATGATTTCAAATTAACTGGGTTATTTTTAACTTTTAACGGTATGCCATTTTTTTAATTAAACCCAACAATATATACAAGAAAGAGTCTCTAAATTCAAGTCATGGGAGGCTGCCATGTGTCATCTATGTTTTGACATTTGTCTTTTTAATTTATTTATTGAAGAGAAAACTAAAGTTAAGTGTCTTTCAATAACTTTAACAATTAGTTCTAACAACTTAGTAACTAATTCTAATGTAAATCAACTCCAACAAGTTACAATTAAGGTTTTTTTTTCCTTTCTATGATTCTAAAGTAAATGTGTTATTGTGAACTTTTAACGGTACGAAAAATAGATATTTTAATTTTTAAAATCCAACAATATATTATACAAAAAATGTTCAAAATTTTGATTTTTACATAGGTAACTTTGATATTAAAATTAAAAAAATCACAAAAGAGAAATTTT